TCTTCAACTGCTCTTACTTTGGAGGTGTAGAATATGCGGCCAACTACCGCTTCGAGACTGGCAACCGGCTCAATACCTACGAGGACAAGGTGAGTTCATCACTAAACAGGATCCTGCGGCACAACGTGGGGAAGGTATCAGAACAACAGAGTCTGTCATGTGATGACGCCGGCTGGGTGCCCATCGAGGAGGTGCTCAAATGTGAGTCCATCTGGAGGCACGAGTACGCACGCTGGCCACATGTATTCCTTGCTCCAAAAGGAAGAGCAAATGATCAGAATGCATGGAATGTCGATGAGGCAAACTACCGCATGACATTGCTCTTCAAGATCATGTTCCACTGTGCCCGGTATGGACGTCGTGTTCGTGAACAAGTCTTGGCATTTGGTATCAACAAGGACATTGAGCGCACCAGCCTGACGTGCATTGACAACAAAGTCGATGCGGACACGAACATTCCTGATGAAGGTCTACTGCTCTACCCTGTGGCGGTCCGTGCTCCTACGGGGCACAAAGAAGGATCTTCAAGGGACGACGTCTCATTGCTGTCCTCATTACTTTCACATCCAATCGCGCCCAACACCATTTTGTCGTTACCGGTTTGTTTCCACATCACCAAGAAGACCAACCTTCGAAGCATTTGGAGGCAGGGATTAATTCCAGGAGGTCTTGGAGAAGGTCATCGGATGTTCACGTTCTTCAACCCGTATGTGCCATGGGATCACAGATCATGGACCATCACGAAGAGCGTTGATACGCGAAAGGGGGACTACATTTGCTTGTTCATCCCGACCGAGACCTTGATGGTGGAATATGGCGGTCGACTGACTGACTCGGGACAGATCGTCTCACCAAAGATCATCCCGTTCTCGGCAATCAAAGGAGGATGGATTCAGGACCCAAAGGACCAAAACAATAAGACATGGCTCCGGTTGTTCGTCCCGTCGAGCGACGACCAGGTAGTCCGGTCTGGAACTATCAAATCAAGAACGGTAGCCACCAAGGAGTCCATCTTGAGGGTTGCAAGTCAGTGCATCGACGCCGAAGATCAACCGTTTGACGAAACCGCCATGGATGCCATGAACATCGTCAACCAATTCAAGAACGACCTCATCAAGCCTGGCGGACAAGAACAATACCTGGCCCGCATCAAGCTGATTGACTACATAGTCGAACGCAAAAGGGTGCAAACATCAGGTTGCCGCCATTGTCCTCACTGTCTCAATGAGACGCCGACAAAACTAGCAGTGTGTCTAGTTTGCTGGACGGAACTTGAAAGTTGTGGAATCCGTCCCTATCGGCTACAAGCTCCTGAAGACGATGAAGATGAGGCCACGAAGAAAGAGATCGATGAAGAAGTTCGTCGACAAGAAGAATCGTTGTTCAAGGATACGGTCCATCAAGCACAAGAAAACGTATCCGAATCCAACGACTATGGCTTCAATCCTGACGAGGTCGACTACAACGAAGGCGATGATGAGGAAATGGATCAGGAGGAGGAAGCCCAACAGGAAGACGACGAAATCGTTGAAGAAGACGACGATGAAATGGAAGTCGAACCTGAAGATGAATCCTCTTCCAAACTTCCAGCATGGACCAAGAACCTCGAGAGCGGCAGCAAGGGTATGCCAGAAGACGGACTTATCAACAATGATGTCTCCGAGGCCGCGGCTCACTTGTATGACAATGCCGTCATGTCAAAGATCATCACAATGTTCAGGCTCTACTACAAACAGAGAGTCACTCTGACCCCAGAGGAGTACTATGAGATGATGACGGAAACCAAGCGAGTCCGGCTGGACCTGGACGACTTCTGTCCTTATACAGGAGAAGACCAGGATGGCAACCTCAAGCGACCGACGGAGCTGGAATTGGATGAACTCTTTCAGCAGAAAGGGAAGAGGAATTCATGGTCAGAAGGAGAGAAGTTATACTCAGGGCGACCAAGAAACATGATGATGCCTGTCATCAAGACTTTAGAGATCTATGAGAAGATGATGGAATTTCTGGTACGCGCTGGGTACACTCCTGAGTCATTAGGCTTTCTCATGCCAATGAACCGAATGCAGGCTGATGCCCAAGGGAAACAGGAGATGCGAGTAACCATCAGCAACTTCCTTCGACGACTGCTCAAAGGAACCTTTCCGGAGCACGAGTCATACACCTTCTTTCGCTCCGGGAGCCACGGCTTCCCCAACTGCATCGAACTCCCAGCTTTCTCGGTATATCTGAGCCTGAGGGAGAAAGAACAGAGAGTAGAACTGCTCTTTGCCGCCCAACAATGTGGCATTCCTTTACCTCAAAACTTTGTCAGCAAGATGGCTTATGCTATTCAGCTGGCCGAGGCCGAGGCGCAGAGGGGAAAGACCGAGATGAAAACGAAGATGGCTCCAACCCTTGGCGACGAAGTGGTGAGTGAAGTATTCAAAGCGGTTGGACATACTGCAGCTTCCAAGTTTGCTAAACCACCTGCACAACCTTCACAGACACCTGAAGGCACTGGTTCAGCATCATCCTCATCGGCTAGTGCACCAAAGGGCAAGGCTATGCCGAAATCCCATGAACCATCAAAGGCACCGCCTGCAAAGCCTTCATCGCCGAAAGCTGCTCCGAAACGTGCGGCAGGATGGGAGAGAACTCCAACAGCACCTCAATGGAAGAAAGTCCGCCGTGAGCAGTAAACCAATTGCTTCGATCCGTCAAAATGATCACTGGGCTACAAGATGTTTACCGTCTTTATGAACAGATGATCAGGAAAAGACCAACTGAGTGGACACTGAGCGAGGCATTAGACTAATTCGCTTAGGTTCAAGACTTTTGATATTCCCAATCTGCACGAGATTCTGCATTGTGCACGTGAATTCGTTAGTTAGCATTGTAAATCTTTGGTAGCGAGGCGATCCATTTCTCCCGACGGGTGAGTGGCATGCTTAGCCAACGTAGAAAAGTAGGTGTTAGCTAGCAATAATTCGCGTTGTACAGCTTGATGAAGCGTCGATGCATCGACAGCCAAGGAGTAGGCGAACCCTGAACCATTATTCCCGACGGGTATGTGGGGAAGGGGGAGCCGAATGGCATGTTTTATGTACATAGGCGTAATTCGAGTAGCAGAAGAATCTAATTCAAAGTTCCCACTCTCGTGCCTATGGTTCGAAGATGCCATAGGCATGGGGGGTGCGAAGGGGAACGAGGTAACAGTGTAGCTGCACATGATGAACATGTGCACAGTCATGCATGGACCGCCAATGATATTGGCTCAAGTCCTGCGCGAGGAAAATAAGAACGCTGTCCGCATGCCATGCACTGAGATTGCCCGGCGCTATCAGCATTACTGGTACTACAGACAAAAGGGATAATCCAGAACAAGGATCAATTTGTTCACAATATATATATATATATGGTACCCTCCCAAAACCTATGCAGACTTCAATTTTACTGGTATTTACAGTGAATTTTATTTATTTTGGCACCGATTTTGTTCCGATAAAATTTGAGGCACCAACAGTGGGAAAACTGAAAAACTGAAAAACTGAATTCCATAGGAGAAGTCTGGGGTCCATTCTTCTCTTGTGGAATTCAGTTTTTCAGTTTTTCAGTTTTTCAGTTTTTCAGTTCTAGGCTTCTCCTGAAAGGTGAAAACCCGAAAAGCTGAAAAAAACTGAAAAAATCAAGTGACCCCAAGCTGTGTCAATAATTATTCTGCTACAGAATGCCATATTTCACCTGAACTTGTAGCCATTTACCATCCAGCAGTTCAGTAAACTTCTCTGTGCTTCTGCAATGGGATTGCGTGCACGCAAATGCAAACCTTCTCTTGGCAAAGTGACGAAGAAGCCGGGCTTCCTGAAGGGAACCGGCGAGAAGACCATGTCTCCGTCTTCAAAGTTTCTTGCTATAACTATCTGTCATCTCAACAATGCATTTGAATACAAACCACCGTCATTCAAGCCACTGCCGCCGCTTAAGTATCTGAGGTTCGATCCCGAATCCTTGCCGTCCCTTGTCTGCAGCATGGGTTGCGCATGGGACCTGCGCATTTCTGCTCTGCTATGTTCCAACATTCCAGCCTTTTCCTTACGGGCTCAGGTTGGCAGAGGAATCGTGGCAGCACCTTGGCTCTCCACGTTCGTCATGTCAGAATGCGCTTGTTCATGCACACGTAGCTAGCCACACAACGCCCGAACTGGCCCCAACCAAGTATGAGTACTGGCACAAGAACGACGACCTTTGGCTGGCAACCGGTGTGCTCTGCTCCTGGGAAATGGTCAAATTCCAGCTCCGTCCCTGAAAACGTCATCGCATCGCCATCTGTGTCAAAAGCATTGCTGCCTGCCTTACACATTCACCAGAGCAGTGTTCAAACAAAAAAAGTTAGGGGATAATCACCAGAAGCCACCAGTTCATTCTATGTTTGAACACTGGTCATTCATCAACGTCTTCAGGAAAACAACCTGCTAGCTCACTTCACAAAGTCCACACAGAACCCCCTTGTCACTGTTGCCTTTGACCACATGAATAGTGTTCAGAAAAGATGCAAGGGGTAATTATCATAAACCACCTTGTCAGTTGACTTTTGGATACTGATCATTGCAAAAAAAACAACATGTCATTTTGTTTCGGACTGCTACTCATCATCTTGGCCGTGTCATCAACAGCACCTGCCGTCTTCTTTGCTCAAATCATTGCAACATGGCAGTATGCCTTCAAGCAGGGTCGCAGCTTCTGAAACATAGGTTCTGGGGGGGGTAGCATATATATATATACCCATAAGATATTTCCCATGAACCACTGTGAGATAGATGCACATTATGTACATGGATGTCCTCAAGATCGTACTATTTGTGTACCATCATGAACCACTATAATCAATTAGTATAACTATAATGTGATGTAATCAATTATAATCAGTAATCATGTAACCACTATAATCATGTAACCACTATAATCAATTATAATCCCATGTGACTTTGATCATAAAATCTTATGGTTTCACCACCCACAGGAAGCCGCCGAGCCCTCGCGTGTGCGACCCAAAGCTGGATCTGCTGCGGCCAAGGCGAAATGGGGAAGTACCTGGCTTTTTCACACTTAGCTATGGAAAATGGACGAAAATGGCTTATTTATAGGTAATTGACATTAATTGACGATGATTTCTGATGATTTACCATGATTTACCTGTTTTTGAAATTGTGATTTTCCACTTCGCAACGTTAAATGACCATAACCGGAAAAATTGGGAGTTCATGTGGGATTCACCCAATGATTTTTCTGATTTTCCACTATGACACATGAGGATCAAGATACGAGTGCGCTTAGATTGGCTGGTGGAAGACCTGCCGAGAGTTGGGACTGAATCAAGGGAAAATGAGGAAAATGATGACACCAACATTAGGATTATGTTACCCTCTGGTTATTTAACATATCCATGGTATAGATGGCCCATTTATAGATGATTTTCCCAGCTAGAAACCTCCGTTTATGGCTATGTTAAATAACAAGATGGTAATTTATGTTGAAAAAAACTGATTTTCAGAATGTGTTTAAGGAGAAATTCACGGAAAACCCAATGATTCCCTGAAGATTCTCCCTTAAACCAATCTTTGGAGATGTTACCAACCAAAGTGGTACTGTATTAAGCTATAATTAAACTATAATTAAAATATATAAAGCTAACAAAAATGGATATTCGTTGTGGTTTCCGAACTAATTTGATGCGTGTGTTCCCAATTTTTACTCATGCATCCCCCAGTGGGGTAAATTTCCATACGCACATTCCACTGCCATGTTTGCATCCTCGGGTTTGTCCTGAAATGTACCCCGAAATGATCCCAAAAATTGTCATTTTAGTGAAGCAATAGGTAAAATATGGTAAAATCCTCTGGTTTATCAATGCTTATCATTGAACCAATAGGCAGAATCTGGTTTGTCAATGTTTCTCATTGTTTCAGATGTTTCCCTCCATCAAAACACTGGGTCACGAAACATCATGAAACACAGCTGACAAACTCACCAGGCTCCGTGGTTTTCGCCAGGCTCCGGCAAGCTCCAAGAGCATGCCACCACCTGCACCCGTGTGGGGAGTCTGGGGTGTGATGATTATGATGCGGGTGCTGGAGCTGGGGAAACCCTAAATATGATGGTTCATCATCATTTTCCCTGTTTACCCTCTGGTAAACTAACATAGCTATTGAAAATGGCCATTTATAGTGGATTTTCCCATTAATAATGGTGATTTTCCATAGTTATGTTAAATTACCAGAGGGTAAATAGCTGTTTGGGGGCACCCCATGTTGAGGCACATGAAAAAAAGAGGATTTTGATGATTAAACCAGTGGGAGTGAAGGATTTAAATTCGGATTTGGTCATCAATAAAAATTGGAATACTTAACCATTAAGAATTCCTAATACTTAATAACATCCACATGTGGTGATACTTAAACATATGTAAATGGCAATATGCAATATCTAACAAAAGTTAATAACTAAGTAAATGTAAATGGTAATTAGTAATAGATCATGATCTACCCATTATTGGCAATAGTTCACTAAAAGAAAAAAGGGATTTGGCCAGTAACTGATGGAATGGAGGCAAAAATATTGGAACAGTAATTATATCACATCTAGGTTTGGCCAGGGTATATACCCCACATATGCCATATGTGAATGGGAAAATGATGATCCCGTGGCTATGCTATGATAAAAGACAACCCAGATTCGAGGTTTTACCAATCACTAGCTGTGAAGTGACTTCAAGATATGCCATAAGAGATGGATGATGATGCCTGCTGGAGGTAGTTCCCCCTTTTTTGGCAGCATGTATAGGTGATGTTAGGTGTGGAAACATAAAAAAAGGGAAAGAAACATGCTCCATTCCGTGCTGGATTTACTGCGGGAAAAGGAAGGCAAAGGACTCGAGGCAGTAAAGACGATGGTCTGAGTCTACATGGTACATGATGTTTCAGCATATTTCAGCCCTATGAATTCCAGGACATTGCTGGCGAAGGATCGATGGCAAATTTTCGACTTTCAGAGTGCCAAAAACCTTGCTTTTGGGAAGTGCTGCTTCACCCTGCACGAGCATGAACTCTGCATCAAGGAATCTAGATGAGATCTATTCAAGTATATTTCTGCCTGCAGATATTAGAAATACCAGCTTGGATTGCTGACACGCAGTTGACTCCCACGTCGCTTTAGAATGCAAAGTCCCCCGGCCAAGTCTGTTTGCTCAGCAGCCCTGGTAAAATATACAGTTTCAATTAGGCATGGAGTGAGACTGGTTCCCTTTGCATTCGGAAAGGTTCATATCTTATCCCCGAAACGCTTTTGCACCTCTCAACTGGGCCGGATGGTCATACAACTGTAGACTTTCATGAGATGAGCTCAGCAAAATCCAAATATGGAGAAAGCATGGGAAAACATCCAGATTTCAATCAAGCATCATTGGAAAGTTCATGCACGGAATTATTTGTTGATAGAGGCATGTATGTGGGGAAGACCAAAAAACATACAAAACTAACCAATTAGGTCATGTGCCCCGATTTTGAATTCTCTGTAGGGGCCAGCAAGGGCACAATAGAAGCGCCAAGGGCAGAACAAATGTCATGTGAGCTCATGTGTCGTTGCCTAAGTTGCTTAGACCTTATCGAGGACAATGATTATGTCCATGTTCGGTTTCGGCGCGAAAACAGAATCGTTGTTTTGGCAGGATCACAAACACATACAGGAAAAATGTAACATCAGTGGCAAAATTGCAGACAGAAATGCGTGGCGGTGGGATGTCAGAGGTTGCTACCGCTACAGGATTGAGCAGAAATCGTTCCTGGCAGAAATCGATATGGTCATCGAATAAAATGCACACGGGCACAATCTTGGAAGAAGATCAATGGCATGATGAGGGAAGAAGGAACCGGATTGTTAACGTAGAAACGGGGGCAAATTCAGCCTCCAAAATTCAAACATGAGTTAGCACGAATTAGTCAGAACTAAATCATGGGTCATCTTCGAGCCTCCGCCCGTTGCCAAACATTGGCTCTTTGGCCGGCGCCTCGGCGCACGGGCTCCCCGGGCCTTGCCATGGCTCAGGCCTGCAAAGAAGCCCACCATCCCAACGCCAAAGAAGGCCCGATCTGCGATGCTTCAAACCCATCTGGGGCTGTGAAAATTGAGGACGCTTGCCTCAGATCCAATGGTTTCTGCTCATCGTCCATAGTAGTGACCATTAGCATACACCAGTTTCAGACACACCCATGCAGCGCATGGAAACCATAACACCATAGTGGCTGCAGTGGCTACCAACTGTTGCGAGCTGAATTTGTTTGAACATGGGGCGCCCCCAATGCCAATGCATTGCTGCCATTTTTGCCCTTAGAGCATGGATAACGTTGGGGGTAGACCCCATTTTTGGACCAGTTTCCTTGTCCACCAAGGCGTAAATCGTTTTTTTGCGTCGACCATGTATGGGCAATTACCGCCGATTTCTTGTACATTAGATTGCTTTCTCATAACGGCCAGAGAACCCCCATGATATCAGGTAATTCCACCATGGTTTCCTACCCTGTTGCGCTTCAGCCACTTCATTCATGCGGAATATGGTTTCCTTTGTTTGAAACTGGAATCATGATGGCAATGTACTGGAAGTCGGGTTTTCCCGCACCGTTTTGATAATATTGTATTGATGATAGTCAGTCATGACTTGTAAAATGGGATAGACATTATAAGCTGGACCCCTCGGTATAAGTTGGTTCATAATCACTCCAGGTTATTGGAGTTCATTGTAAACCAACTTTGCAAACGGACTGGGGCACCACCTTAAAGGCATGATCCAACCAGCAGGCATCAAGCGCCTGCAATTCGCCCACTCCTGGTGACTCAACGCCAAGTCATAGGCCTTCATCTGGACACAAGGCATGGTCAAACAAAGATTTCATCATGAAAAAATTGATAGGAATGAGGGATTAATCATCAAAAATGTGGATCTTATCGGGAATGAACATGATTAAACCACTTTTAATTGTCATTTAATATGGGGTATCATGAATCATGGTGGTACAACTGAAATATGTTGGTTAAACCAACGAAAATGCAAATATTACGGGAATAAACCTGGAATATCAATGAGTATCACATGCAGTTATGTCAGACTATCGGCCAGGATCATTTTAGCCATAATTTCTTAACAAATGTATATATTTTTTGCCGTGGTCAGCCGCGGTGACGGGCGGATTGACTCGCACCTTCTTCATCTCACTTTATGCATTTAAAAGAACAACCCTTGTGATGCGTTCGTCGAAATTGACTGGATCGACGTGTGAGATTGTTTTACATTTTTGGGGCATATTGAACATAGATTTAGACAAATTAAATGTCAGATTTCCTGTTCGGCATGGACACAGATAAAACGACGTTTTGTGGGGGTTGGGGTTTCCAATGTGCTGTTGGTCAAGTTGTCATGTGACCAAAAAATGGTTGGTTTTGTGGTGTCTTCAAACCTGTATGGTTTGCAACGTGGAATTTCGCATCATGAACGCGTTGGGCGGTTTTGTTGCTAGGCACCGCCTTCCAAGCCCCACAAGGCACGGATTGAGCATCTCCTTAGGAACTGTATTGCTGCCATATTTTGCCATATTTTACCGACAGGGCATCGTCAAGGAAGTCGCCAGCAGCAAGCTCAGCCATGACTGTGGAACTGTGCAAAGCGACTGGATGATTTTCATCGACCCACCAAGGCGATGACAAGATGTACGTGGGCGCTGTTGCCTCGGAGATCGGTTTGTGTTACAAAATTAGTGGTTTTTGTAAAAACGTGCCTGCAATTTTGATGGGTAAATATTTGTTAATTAATGGTTAATTAATGATTAATTAATGGTTAATGATGGTTAATCATGTCATGTTAATCATGTCAATCGTCGTACTTGCCATTAACTTTAACAATTGTTATTTTATGGATATACGGTATACCCCATTCATAAACACACCCACAGGTTTCCGAATCAACCAAAATTTAAGACTGGTTCCCTATGTTATGGTCGATACGAAGAGTTTGTATCCACCAGCACTTGTTATTTGTTGTGTTTATCCAACACGGTGTTTCTTCTTAAAGTGGTGTTTGTTTTTTTCGGCAATGCTGTCAAATTCGTACTTTTTCATAATGTACCGAAAAAAAAAAACGATGTGGGTTTGCCATAATGGGCCATGATGGGTGCCCCAAAATCCCATGGCCATGGTGATGTTTCCCTTTCAGATCGCCAGTGGAATCAAGGACCGTGTGAAGCTGAAAGGACCTCCAGTGCGGCACGGTGAGGTGGATCTGTGACCAAATGGCTCGTTGAATGGTGGGGGGAAATGCGAATAAACATATAATAAACATATATAAACATTAATCATTAATAAACATTAAACCAACATAATTACATAATGTATATAAATATAATGTTGCAGGTAGCCTAACAAATCCATGCCTGGCACCAGGTCATGTACATCGGTCCTGCTGCCTTTGCGGGTGGTGAGACAGTGGTGGGCTGGGTTCCTCAGACATGGCCCTGTCTGAGGGATGCATAGCCGATGTAGCCGATGTAGCCCCGATGTAGCCTGTCGGTGACACGACCCTTTGGCATCAGATTCGAGCCTTGCAAGAAAAGAAAATGATGGGCACCCAAATTAATCAGTCACAAAACCATCTAAAAGTTAGAGGTGGCATTGTGGTTTCATGTGGTTTCTATTGACCACCAAAAATGACGGTTTTGTGGCACCTTAAATTTGCTGACTTGGTCATGTTGGATTTTTTTCTGTGCCCATGAGATCCTGTGACAAAATTGTGTGACAGGTGTGAAGCTGGATGAAAAGAGAAGCACGTCAGATTGCGATGGCATGTGACCCTCAGAAAAAAGCGTGGTTTTTTGTGGTTTATGTAAACCAATCAGTAAACCCAATGCCATGATATACCATCCCCAATAGAGGTTTATGAAATTGGGTATATACCATGATATACCATGTGATATACCATGATATACCCCTATTTGGAATAATGTACAATGGCACATGGTTTGTTCATGGGATGGTGTGTTGGGTTTGTTCATTCTGCATATTTCTGCAGATGAAAGTTGCGAGAGTCAGTTAGGCCTATTAGGGGTGGCTTGGGCGACCAACGTCCAATTGTAGATGGGGTGGGCGGGGCAGCAACATTCCATCAATGGGTGGTTCACCAACGTACATTGGGACATTGGGTCTTACATCAGAGATCTGTAGTTCCGGCTGCATTTGCACAGTTTTCCGACCACAACAAAAAGAACTGGGAAAAACTGCTGGGACTCAAACCTGGTGACTGCTTGACCTTGGCAAAGACATGGCTGCGTACGCAATACGTCTTCGGCGCGCGTTTACGACGCGACCGGCCGTTGTTGGTTGATGATGATACAGGGCTATATACTACCCTTTAAAAAAATGCGGATTATCATGTGATCCGTGACCTAAAAAAAGTCATTCTTAAGGATTTTGAACGGGACGCGGAATGGATTCTACGATGCAATTTTTGCGACCAACAACCAACATTGTCAGGTACAAAAATGAGCGATTCTTTCGATGTCAGCCCGGGCATGGAATTTACCAAGCCTTGGAGGAAGTGGAGCTGGTGCCGTGGCTGAAAATCCATGGAGTATGCCTTGCATTTTGTTTCGTTTTTGCTGAGGAAAGTGATGATTGAAAAATGGTCAATAGTAACGGACCATTAGATTTTAAGCAGTATTCTGTAGCCTCCAAATTACTTTAGGATTCGGTTTTGCCACAAATCTACATCTTGTTGCTGATTTCGCTGATTTTCAGACGCCAAGGTACCCCCGGAACTTGCAGACGAAGATGTTCGCTTGTTGCCGATGCCGGAGCCCCTGTTGGATCAGCTGTTGGTAGACTTCAGATGGTGAAAAAATCCAGGTCCGAAGCTCCTGATGCAGACACCTTTGACCTCGAGGAGGAACTCAATCAGTTTCCTGGCTAAAAGATTTGAGCCTGAAAAAAGTGTAGTCGTTATAAAGCCGATGATAAAAACATACCGAAACTTACTGTGTGCTGTTTGTTCAGCATACCCAAGTTCACTTGTTGTTGGTTTGTCGCATTACATCCAAACAAATTCAAACAAAACCAGCTATAAACATTTCGCACAGATCGGGACGATTGCCCGGAGCCTATGTTTTTTCGGGTAAAACGACCCGAGTTTTCAACAGACCACAAAGTCGTGGAAGGGCGACGTGAGTTTCTGGCTCTCCATGCTCTCCGGATCCGTGTGTATTTCGGATAAGATAAAATATACAGCCATAAGACCTTTATACGTATTGTTTGAGGGGGTGGCAGATATACATATAATATATATATATATACTTCTGTAATGATTTGGAACCGTGGGAAACATGAATTCCCGTGGATTTTGAGTGAATATAGGGTGATGTCGTGGGAAAAATGCGACATTATGGAACCAATGGGAAAAATGATGGAAAAATGGAGGGAATTCGTATTTGGATGAGAGAACTGTTAAAACCGTGGCAAAAATGGGAGATTATGTGATGGGCGAACGTCCTGTTCAGCGAGAAACATCTTTATCCCAACCTTTTCAATGGCTAAATGGCTATGAACATGGCCATAAAATACATTAAAATACCATAAACACCGACAGCCCGGCTTTCCCAACAGCTGTTTTAAGGCTCATCGGTCTTAAGGAGGTGAAAGAATCCATTCGCCACACACGGAACTTCATCGAAGTTCAGCCGCGGCTCCCAGTGAAGTTGAACAGGATTTAAGTGGGTGGTCCTTAAAAGCTTAGGGCTGTTGATGATATCAATGATATCAATGATAATTATATATAATTATATCATTATATATATATGTATATTATACATATATATATATGTGATATTCCAATATAGTGCTTGTATGAATCGAATTCGATAGGTAAAGAACTTATATATACATGTGTATAGATGTTATAGTTATAGTATTAAGATGTTGAATATTGGTGATATGCATATAAATAGATTGGTATAGATAGATACTCCCAACATTTCCATAACCCCCAGCCATAAAAATCGAGTCAAATAGCGGTGTGTGGATCGTTGATACAATCGCATGTTTGCAGCTGATCAATCCATTTTCTTCTCACTGTAACGGTGAAAAGATCTGGTGGACAAACAAATGAAACAAGAAACATTTAACAAAAGGAAAAGAACATCAAAGGAAAAAAACATATTATATATATATTGTATATATATATATATACAGTTTTTGTAGGGGTTCCAAGTGGTTTCCACATGAAACGGAAAAAGATGGAAAGCTCCAGCGTTGCGAATTCGTCACAGGAAGCGTCGCAGCAGCGTCACTGGAGACAGCTCGGCACGCGCCTTGCATTTCGCCTTCATGCAGGGTACTGCAGGTGGGGGTGGGATCTTAGGATTCAGCCACATTTGTGAGGTGTCCTGAAAGCCATGAATTGGGGGTACCTAAACTAGTGGTATTTTAGTGGTTTTTTTTCGGAAAATACCAATTAGTTGAAGGAAATATCCTTTTTAGGGGGTTCCTAAAATGGGGATACCCCTAGTTTTCATCCATTTGATGTTCGGATTTTCCGTTATAAACCATCCAGAAACGGTGGTACCATCATTTTTTGGGACACCCCCTTTTTGAGGGAAAATTTCTGGGGAGATGGAGATATAAGTGGAATGGGTTTAACCAACAGAAATATTCGGAGACTCATTATGGAAGATGAAGCCACGAAATGGTCATTAAAGCATGTTTGTTGTGGAAATCCGAATTGTTGTTAGTTTAATCCCCACATTTGGATGCTAGATTTAACTATTCAACCAGAGAAATAGGATGATATCCCCAATGACTTCCGCAATTCAGCAGGTGGCTCAACCAACAAGTGATTGATGCTTCTTGTTCTATTCATAATATGGTTGGGTTACATGATTTATAAAAACATGTATTAGAATTGTGTAATATATTGTAATATATTGTAATATTGTCATTGGTATATGTTTAAAATATGGGTATAAATATGGGTATAGATATGTTTGTACGGGTTTTTTTATGATCTATTATGATCATATGCCATGAAAATGTGGTCAGGAACTTGGTCAAACACTGGATGCCAGGCTCGGGAGCTGGGAAAGTGGCGCAAGTCCTGGGAGGGATGCTCTTAAAGTCAGAGGCCTCAGAGGCTTGGCAAAGGCTTGGCAAAGGCTTGGCAAAGTGGGCAGTGTGGCTGGTATTTCATGGGATTTCACCAGGGTCTTACCAGTGTTTTACAGGTTATCAATACTATATGCAGTATATAATACAATATTATTATATATATATGTGTGAGGATGATATCATATCCTATCCAGCTGGAGCTACGGTTCTACCTTTTCGATCAGGAGCCTTGGGCAGCTACGAATTAAGTTTCCCAACCATTGGGAAACTGGGCTTGAAGATATTTAAGTTGTTAGGACATGGCATCACGATGTGTGTTTGAAGATCAACTGAGAAACTGGGAGACTGACTGTCGCTGGGACATCGCATTGGCGTGTCAAATTTCTACCATCATAAAACTGTAATGAACTGTAATCATCGGCATATCAACCAACAGAAACTGTCTGTTCAACCAACAACCTTCCCAACAAATCATCAATAAGACCCACTGCAAAACAGTTAGAACTTCACCAAACATTGATGTTGATCTTAGCCAACCGAAATGCATTATGGTTCCTACTGATAAGCAGCAAAAATCTGCGTCACCCAGCGCCGAGGTTTGGAGTTCTGACCTCGGGTCATGTTCTTGAGGTCACCAGAAAGGACATGGGCAGGTTGAATTCCCAAGCGTATTCTGTTGTTACACCTTTGGAAATCCTTTAGTTTGATAAAGTGGTAAAGCAACAACAGTAAACTCGCAATTGATGCTTAAGTTCGACCCATTTCTGGTGAACTTGGCGGTGGTTTATTTCGGGTTTTACCACATGGAATCATACCTGGGGAGAACTACGCACTGACATCCAATTTATCGTCCAATTAATCCAACCATTATTGTTCCAATTTTCCACTCATTATTATCCGCCAAGTATTCACCAGGTATCCATTAAGTATCCATTGAGTATCCATGGCTAAGAGGTGACGTTGTCTGCTGGTGCAGGACCTGGTTGCTGGCTGTACCGGTGGTGATGCAAGGGGCCCAAAAAATGCCGTTTACTGTTCGAGCTTCCAAGCAACTACAAATATGGAAACCTAGAAAAATCTGGGTGAAACATCATCTACCCTCTGGTAATTTAACATTGCTATTGAAAATGGCAATTTATAGTGAGTTTTCCCATTAAAAATGGTGATTTTCCATAGTTATGTTAGTTTACCAGAGGGTAGTCTATACCAGTCTGACTCATTCTGTAAGAAAGTGTTCTATCTTTTTTGGGATTTGCTGTATCGAAAGAGCATCAAAAGAATACAGCTGAAAGAAGGGAAAGAAGACATAATGATTCAAAAAAAAAATGTTGCGATCAATGGATCAACCTGGTGTTTTTGTTGGGAGTGCTGTCGAATGAAAAGCCCAGGTTGATGCCAAGATGAAGAAAGTGGTTTGGAGCTCAAGCTGTGAGCTGTACCATTGGTTACTAATGATACTGTACAAGTCAGACAAGTACTATAGTCATAGTTGATCTCAAATGTGGGAATGCATCAAAACCTATGAATTCTCATGTTGTGGGATATATGATATTTGGGGTGGTTCTTCACATCCATAAATATCATCAACCCCAGCTATTTCTGGGAGTTCACCAGGCACGTGCCGCAGAGGGTGGAGTCTTGCTGGTGCAGGGCGCTGACTGCCTGAAAGACACCGAGAAGAGCTCGGAGCGCTGCGAGCTGCGCCGCGGGAGTTGGGGATTTTCTGCAGCTGCCTCCAAGAATTCAGTGGCTTCTATGACATGATATTTGCTACACCTCCAAATTTTGGTGGGAGATGTGGGAGATGTGGGATTGAAAAATCCCAATCCATACCATTACTAATTATCCATATCATATCCACTGCATGTAGAAAAACTACAGCCATCAAGCTGTACCAGGATCGAATCGGCGAGGAAGCGCTGCAATCCGTGACGAAACTCCTGGAGGTCCCTGTTGTGGCCATTTGAGTAGGGAAAATGATAAACAGATTCAACAGATGATAAACCAGTGGATTCAGCAAATTTAGGGGTTCCCTATATCAGACGCCAAGTTTCAACACCAAGTTTAACATCTTGGCAGACTGCTGCCATTGCTACGGAGTGGCCTCAGAGGCCCGGGCATCCGCGGCGCGTCGAAATATTGACGGTAAATATTGGAACATCTAGAAATGAAGCTCTGCTGGCTAAGGTTGGCCCACCTGTGCTGAGAATTATAGAGGTTCCTGGATGGTAAACATCAAACGACTATCCGGTCAGGCTATGCCTGGTGCTCGCTGGCCGGCGAAGTCAGCTAAGTCAGCTGCTGGAGACGGTGGTCAGTGGTCAATGGTGATCAATGGTGTCATTGACGCAATGAAACAACAGACAAAAATTGGAAAAATGGATGGAAAATGGTTGTTGCATGTTGTTGCCATGGTTTCTTGGGAGATCCTTGGAGTTGCAAAGGCGTTAGATAGGCATTGCCACAGGAGACCCCTGGGGTTGGCAGCAGCATCTTTGCACGGCTCGAGTTTTCCGTCGGGATCCAAGTGAGCTGCGCTGAGCTGCGCTGAGCCCGTCGGGAACTTGTGGAACTTGTGTACCAAGGACCTCACAGCCATTGAAGTGGTGCCTTGGCGCTAATTTCAGCAGTTGAAAAAAAACATGGCGGTGCTCCAAGTTGTGCTCCTTTCCGTTGCCTTTCCCACTTTCCCAGGCTCAAATCCTGAGACATTTGGTGAAGTCCAACAGTTTCCAGTTGAGCCCGGCACCAAATCTGCTACTGGATGTCCACCAGATCACAACATGAAAATGGCAACAAGGTCATGACCTCACTGATGAGAAGCCGGGCCTCGGTTTGCTGTGTTATTTCTTGTTCAATCCCACTCAATGGAGGTCTTAATGGAAAAAAAACCTCTATGAATGGAGAGAAATGTCCAAGGTTGATAATTTTTTCGCACCAGAATTTTTCAACAAGATGTGTTCAGCCAGCCATATTCACGTCGCTTCGCGACGGCAACCGCCCGCACCGCATCGTTCTCTTCTACTGCCATTGTTCTCTTCTATTGCCGTCGCTCCGCGACAAGAACCCCTGTGCGGCCGCCACGGTTTGAACGATGTTGTTCTCACACCTTCGCGACCGCTCGTAACTGCCAATGATGTCGGCCATTGAGACCAAAAACATCCGAAAGTACTGATTGTCGGAAAAAAAAACGCGAAGAATTTGATAGCCATGTATAGCGGACCAACGCAGTTCAAAAAATAACGAAAAACATGAAAAAACGGCGAAATTGCTGTTATTTACAGTGTTTTTGCGCGGTGAGAAGCAGAAACCACTGCAAATACCATGGTTTTTGAGGGTCAGGTGGCCAAAAACACTGTAATTTACAGTGTTTTTTTAAAACAGCGTAATTTACGAGGTTTTTGGAAGTTTTGAAGCTAGCCGTCAAGCATGCAGAAAACAGAAAAACACTGTAAAAACCAGTGTTTCTGCTATCACAAAACGACGAAAATCAGTCCGAAAACGGGTCCAAAAACTCAAAAATCCGCCTCCGGGCCAGGCCACCTGCGGAACCGCAAAAAAAGATGTTGCAAACCAAAAAATTGAGGTCAAAAAGTTGAAAAACACGGTTTTTTTTCACTTTTCGCTTGCCGATTTTGGACGGGCGCGTTCACGAACAGGTGTCTTCCGTACTGTTTTTTACAGTGTTTTTTGAAGGCGAGCGTCACGACCTATCAAAAACAGGAGGTTTTGGCCGAAAAATGCCCCCCCCCCCAGGTAAACCTGTAACCTTTTACGAGTGCCATCCGGACGATCACGCCCCAGCACCTTCGGTGCGGGCGGATTTTCAGGATCTCCCCAGTGCGCCAGGCTGGAAAGCTTGGTGCGACGTCGCATGGCAAGGGTGTTGATCACAGCAGATTTCACCGGTTGCACCGGTTCCAATGGGGTTCCATGAATGGACGGCTTCCCTGAGGCTGGTGGAGATGGCGCCAAGAATGTTCGATTGGCAAAGGCGTCAGTCATGAAATGTCATGAAATCCTGTCACCTTTGAGTCGAAACAGTTTCCCACACGGGCTGATTGTTGATTCACAAATTTGCTCGGATTCTTAGTATGAAACCCTCATAAACCCTCCATGTTTATCCATTTTTGGGAACCTTCCATGATCTTGATCCATAGATGATACCTGCAGTGATAGACAATTTGGTTCGTGGTTTAAAGATGTTTAAAGATGTTGTCAAACCCATCCAGAAGTCCTAAAGTCCAGTCAAAACTGAGATCGCAGGCCATGCTTGAAGAAGCCGTGAGTCGTCAAACCGACCGAGTTTGGGCCAAGGATCTCTGGGTGGAGTTATCTACTCGCAGCTCAAAAAAAATGTCCATGTTGGGAGTCCTCAAGCAATTGGGAAGACGGATGTTTACGTCATCGAACTGACGGATGTATAGGTTGTAAATTGAATTCGAGCTGCAAAAAAATATGGATATATGTCCATGCTGAAAGTCCATCATTTGTTCTCCCAAAGAATCTCAATCGGAACATTCAATCATCTTGGGAAGAACAAGAATTCAATATATAATTCCCAATAGAACATCATCAATAGAAGAAATTATAGAACAAATATGAACAGATTATAGAACATCCCCAATATTCCCCAATGATAGAACCAGTTGTCCCGTTTCCCTATGTCGGTGAACCCTTTGAGGAGACCTTATCCTTCACCGGTCTCACGGCGCTGGTGGAACAGGCCAGGCTTTTTTCCAGCTGGCCTCAGCTGTTGGGTAAAAACCGATGAAAACTCTGGGAGTTCACTGGGTTTTAATAGATCTTAATGGATTTTTCATAGGAATTTACTATGTTTTACCATTAAAAATCATTGAAATAGTGGATTTCATGGGATATGAACACTCTCTTTTTTTGGGGGGGGGTGCAGTTGGGATTGTGAATGGATGTAACCATGGGAATTCCATCCCAATAAGCTGGGATGGTTTCATGGGGTATGGTGGAGTGTTTATGGTGTATATTAAGTGGAGCTATCCGAAATCCATATCCATAAAGAATAATGAAGTATGATGAGGTATGCGAACATAATCCATAAAAGAATGATTTGATTTGAAGTGTGGATATATGGTTTTTCCATGTTTTTCCATGGAATGATTGACCCCTATACATCCATTTCTACATTCATTTCGGGTTGACACAATCGTTGGTGCACCAGGACTTTGTCGACAAGAGCAAAGACACCAACGAAGCCGCAACGGCTGCCCTGAAACGCCTGGATGGCATCGTCGGCTTGAAACCGGTGAAAGAGTGTGGGAGCCAAGGCTGACCGTCAGCTGACCGTCAGCTGACCCATCGTGTCATGACTTTTTGGGGCCATTAATGGATCTTAAGGGGTCATTAAGTCATACAGTTGGAGGAAAATGGTGTTGTCAGAAACTTCGCAAGCCCTTGAATTCCCTCCAAAAACAGCTCACTAAAAATAGATATACACTTTGGGAGTATCCCCCATTTTGAAACAAACATACGTCATAATTTACAAGAGCCAGCACTGGGACTGCCATCCTCTTGAGGTTTGTAAGATCTCTCTACGCAACACTCCTGATGGAGCAGCGTCGGAGGGAGATGGGATTGGAAACACCAGGCTGTGCCCAGCGGCTTAGCATGATCGCACCGCCATACACTGCCAGCTGATTTTTCAGGTGGGAGCCCAACTCTGCACATGGTGTTCCAAGGATTCTTGGTTTATGAAGAGAAAAAGCACTGTCAGATTTCGTGAGATTTCGATTCTCGATTCGGCAGATGCTACAGTCAAGGCAATCCTGGTACTGGCAAGACCACTGTTGCACGGGTAGTGGCTGATTTGCTCAAGGTGCGGTGTGACCAGGAATCCAGAAGATGGAAATTCATCATTTCAGCGCTCTTTCCATGGGTCGTTTGCGTGTGTATGGTGCTTCTGCCATGTATTTTGCAGCATGTTGTTAGTGTGTGTTTCAAAAGTTTTTGACATAACAATACTGCGATAGAATATAGTGGATAAGTTTGGTTTTTCTTTGCCATTGCATGCCATTGCCATCTTCTTTACCGGTCTCCATGTCTGGTGTTGCAACGAAACCATAGACAAACCCACATCTGAGGTCCCCATGTTGGACGATTAAATCCCTACCAAAAATTCCGCATGTGTGCTGGTTAAGACCCATAATGACAAGTGAAATCCACATGTTTCATGTTTAAAATAACCAAAGGATATCAAATTTGTATAAATTTGTCAAATGATGAATAAGACCATAGTTAAACATGGTTAAACGCAATAGTCGGTGAGATTCTCATCAAATGATGGCTTGAACCATGGTAAAACATGGTAAAACTGGCGAAATCCCCGCAGGCTCTGGGTTTGCTGCGCACCGGGCACCTGGTGGAGGCGGATCGTGCCGCATTGGTGGCGGGCTACAGCGGACAGACGGCGTTGAAGACCAAAGCTGTCGTGGAATCCGCCGGGAGCCCCGGGGTATCCCGGGGTCATGGCACGATGTTCGGAGTCAGAGGGGGATGGGAGTTTGGGAGTTTGTTATGATATGATGATCTCAGGTGTTGGAAGATGTTGATTCTTAATGATTGTTCGTTCAAAATTGTAAAAAAAACTTGGTTGATGATTATATGATCTATATGGGTTTTATTGTATGGGTTATAGGGATAGCGATGAATAAATGAAATCAGAGGTACCCTATTTTCAGACAAAGCCAGATCGTGAGTATGGAGGGCATGATTTTTGGAATGATGCTGTATGATGTTTTTTATTTACTGAATGATATAGATGGTCATATACATATATATATATATATGTGATGAGGTGTGATTGTTATGATGGTTTATGATGATCATATCGTTTTTCTGCTATATATATATATAATTATAGTTGTATGCATGTATGTACGTATATATATATATACAATTATAAATGATATATTTAGTTATATATATATTCTACCCAGCAGAATGTTGCGTAGCTAAGAGCCATCTGAAAACATTGGCCCCATCGTGGCGGAGGCTTTGGGTGGTGTGCTCTTCATTGATGAGGTCCAGCTGTCCCAGCCATTTTCCACACATCTCAGGAAGACCGGAGTTACCATTGTACAAACCCGCTTTGTATTCTGGTCTTTAAAATGGAGGATAAGTTATGGAGGATACCATTGTAAATGGCTGGCCCCATTTTATCCTCCATCTATTCTCAGCAAGTTGATTCTCTTCCCCAGATCTCTAGATTTTGGCGAAGGCTTATGCTTTGGTGGGTGACGATGGGCGTGATTCCTTTGGACGAGAAGCCTTGGACACGCTGATCAAACTGGTGGAGGACCAGGGTTGTCGCCTGTAAGATCTAAGAATCTAAGAGTTTATCCTGCCAACGGCTCTAAACTGGAAGAAGCACAGGTGATTTTGGGCCACTGCTCCCAATATATCCCAATATTCCGTCTACACTGGATCAAAACGAAGCACTGGTGCTTTTGGGTCACTCCCAACTTCCACTGGTTGCTGAGGACTACCGGCAGGACTTGGTGGTGATTCTGGCAGGCTATAGCTCAGAGATGGCACGCTTGAGCTTTGCCAAAATTATATGTGTGTTTTCTATGAGAATTCGTGGTTTATACTGTAATAATATACATATATATATATATATAGTCCCAAAAAAAATGATGGAGAAATGTCAGTTGACATGATCTTAGTAGAACTTTTATTTGTTCTATCTCTTTTTGGGGCTACTAATAGCAGGAGTTTCCTCCTGGATCTTTGGCCAGAAAAACCATGGTCATCCCAGGATCGAAGCCAATCCCGGTTTACGGTCTCGCTTTCCAACGGTCATTGAATTCGATGTTGGGCACCTCAGTGCAGACCGATGAATTTTGAGGCAGATTTTTTTCATGTGGAAAACATGTGGAAAACACCCATGGTTTCTGATATAGAAAATGGAACACCCATGGAATATATGGCCAACATCTATATCAGAAACCATGGGTGTCCCAACATATATTCCATTTTTTGTCATATGTTCTCAGAAGTGTCTCATATATTCGAAAATATGTTCCATGCCACTAAAAAAACTGGATCCACGATGGATCACTGAGGACTACACCTCTGAAGAGCTCTTGGAAATCGCCGACGGCATGCTTCTGCAGGTGTCATGGGGAACCTCTGGATTGATAATTCCGGATTGATATGGGCTGAAAAATGGGCTGAACCCCCGTGTTTTTTCGATTTCAAATGGGCAAAACCCCAGAATGTCAGGGGATCAATAAATGTGGTATACGACATGGAAAAATCCAGATGTTTCTGAAGTGAGCTGTACATGGTTTCCATTCCCAATGTCATGATCCTACACTGGGCTGTCTAGCTAGCATTCTTGGGAGGTTGGAACCGGGAGCCAGGATATTCCTGGTAAAGGATTAGTAGTCATTTAGTAGTCATATCCCTAATGTTGATATTATATATATATATGACTAATAGTTATTTCTGATATATGACATATTCACACAGTCAACTAATCCCCATTGTGTATATATATATATACATACATATGCATATATATATATATATTATCAATCAATATATCTATATTATGCTTATTTCTTCTGCAACGCCTTCGGGGCCACCGCCAGGATATCCTGACTTTGTCGGATCTTTCAGCCAGCGAGCGGTTGAAAGAGCTCTTGCAAAAGGCGGTATCAAAACGTGTCTCTGCACATAAACCAAAAAGAGATCCCAAGGAAATTGGGTGCATGGACATCTCAACACACTTTTGATATCTTTTGATTTTGTTTGTTCCTGTTGGGGATTTCAAAGATAGAACTGCAGGGTATTGGCATCTCAGTGCTGCGTCGTTGAGATCCAACTCCCCGCAGACTGTTCCAAAGCCTGGAAAGAAAAGCGATCGGCAAGCCGGCAATGGACGCAGGGAAGCCCAAAGGTGACATTAAAACTTCAGAGTAGGGCAGCACTCTGAGAACTGGGAATACAACTTGTATGTATTACATAGAACTGCGACTGGGCAGGGAAGGGGCCTTGTGGTACAATTTCAGAATCAACGCATGTCGATCTTGAGTTCACAACACGGTGCTGAGGTGCTGTCAGAAATATTTTGGAAAGAGCCAAGCGAAACCAGGCAGAAGTTCAGAAGATCTTTTGAAATGTCAGCAATAAAGCAGCAATGAATTGTGCTCACTGAAGTTGGGAACTCCCTGGACAGAATGAAGCCGCATGAATGGGTACAACCTCTACAGAAAGGGATGGTGGTTAGATCTTCCTGTGTAACCCCAATAAGTGATCTTCCACTATCGGTAAACAACCCTGGGCAAAGTCCCAAATAGAAGTAGATTGTTTTCTGTGTTTTTCCCATTAAAAGTGAGAATTCCTATTTTCACGTGGTATATGCTCAGATGTTCAAGTAGATATGGCATGATATTCCGGTAGATATCCCCCCAGATCAACCGGAGATAGCCGTGATCCATGGCGACTGTTTTCAGTAGGTTCGGTGTGGCATCCAGTTGGGATGTGGTCAACAGCCATGCTTAGTTCATCCGTAAATGGGATAAGCCAACAGTTACATATTTGGCATTAGCTACCTGCAACTCAGGGGTTGCACATCTGTGAGCCTTCGGGATAGTCGATTTACCATGATTTACCCATTGCTATCCTATCGCGGCCATATTCGAAGCCCTCCCGCATTGCTAGAAGAATCCCATAACTGGAAACTGTCATCCCAGCAACCTGCTGATTAACCGTGGAACATCCACATCTCATTGGTTGAGGACTGTTTCTTTGATACATATATTTACTACAGTAACATGTCATATATTTATTGACATCGCAACAACCCCCGGCTTATCTAATTCATATGTGATAGATATAATAACCCATCAATGACATAACTGGGTATGGGTCAATACCTATAGATACATTTTTAGTGGGTTATTCACATCCATAAATCCCAACTATTTTGGGGTTCACGGCACAAAAACCAGGGTTTTGACCCATCCCCAACTGTCTTGGTCTTTTGGAGGCCTTACGGCTGCAGCAAGAAGCTGCGGCGGGGAAGATCCACAGCCAGACGGATATGCTGACGCTGGTGGCGCAAGACTTTGATGGATGCACGGCGACTCAGGTTGAAGCTCTGAAGGGGGTGATATAAGTTTGCTAATGATATAATAGATATAACATGGTATAACTAACCATTATTAGTATGCTCCTTATACGCTTTTTTTGGGGGATAGAGTTTGTTAGTGATACAACTAATATAACTATTAGTAAAGTAAGTAATAAGTCTCCATATACCTGGAGCTGATGGTTTTTGTTGATGTTCCCTGTGGGAAATCCACTGAACGGAAAATATCACTGAAGGGCGCTCAATGGGCAAGACGCCCATTGGCTAATGGGAATAGAATTCGAACAAGAGAACCATGTGTTAGCCGACAATGTGATCAGCGGCTCATGTCTTGCTTCCAGCATCAAACTTTCGAACACACTCCCAAGCCATTCAGGTTTGAGTCCCTAAGCAACCGACGGTCACCGACCTTCAGTTTCTTTGCGTTTGCTGGAAAAATGTGCTGCAGATGCAGACAAAGGAACTTAGGATAGCATCAAGAAGTTTCATTTGTTCTGGGTTCATTCCATCATAGTACAAGAATGTACAAGATGCGATGATATGTTTGAACTGTGTACATACGTGATGAGAATTGAGTTGACTTATGAGGTCCCCTCGGCGAACAGGTATTGATTCGCAGCAAATGGTGATGAATAGGGCAGATCCACTGTTAACTAGCAACTCTAGATCAGCTAGTGAGATTTGCAATCAATGGTCAAAGACGTATCGGTTCGTCGCGTCTTTGGAGATGTTTTTCATGTCACATCATGAACTGTTGCTGCAATTGCAGCCTTTTTGGCCCAAGAATCACCAAAATCCCAAAGTCGACGTTTCTGCCGACCCTGGGCTTTTTGTGCTCGCAATGCGTGGGGCCCCAGCACGATAGGTCAGGGCTTAGGAGAAGCTGGAGCACCAAAGAGCACCAGCATTTTCCCCGAAAAGCTTGGTTTTGTAGATTGTGGAACCAGTTCTAGAGAAGGGGCGCTGAAATGTGCTCTTGAGCAGCTGATTTCAGTAAACCCGGCAGATCCGAAAGTCCAATGAGTTGCCTTTTTCTGTTGAGCTGGGATAGCTGGGTTTCTGGCCTAGTCCAATGAGTTGTCCTGCAATTATTGTCATCCAATTTTCACCACTCATTTTCCAGAAAATACAGCATGCCATGATATGCCATGCACTGACTTCAACTTGAAAAAAAGTGATCCCATGCAGCCAATTCCACCGGGGAGTCGAGGAAGTATTTCGCCTTTCTGGTCACCGTGGCCCATGCCGTGCCCTGGCAGCAAAATGTACGATGTGCGTAGGTATTTCTAGGTATTTTTGTAGGTAAAATATGGTAAAATCATGTGGGAAAGTGACATGTTTCTGTATTTTTATAGGTAATGTATAGGTCTTTCACAGAAAAATCTCACAAATATCCCGATCCGGTGGGGACTGGAAAAGATTGGAAACGCCTTCAGGTGAGCCCCATGGAAAAGGTCTTCAGCATGTCGGACAGCCCAGATATGCCCAGATCATAGGGTACACCGGATCCCCCATATTTGTGTTGCCATGTTTAATAGAAAAAATGATTATAACTTGTGGGATTTCAGGACTTGGGAGGGTCTGTCAGATCATCAGGCATATTTCAACCACGATGGAGAACGTAGATCCACAGCCACTAGTTGTGTTTCTAGCTACGAATCATCTACGAATTCAAAATAGAATGCAGGATACCTTGGGATGCTTTTCACTTCTCGGAGTTTTGTTTCACCCCAACATCAGTGGTCTGGCTTTGGCCAAATGATACTTCGAAAATTGGCTCCTTGGCCTTTTATTGTGCTCTTGTTGATGATATCCCAATGGGGTGGACAATCATTGATCTGGTGCACCAAAACCAACAGACATCGCCTATTTAGGGCAGATTTGGGGGGGTCCAACCAAGATGAATCGTTGGCACAACATCGATATCCACAAGAATCCGAGGTTGTCCGATCTGGAAACCAAAGTGCTGGAGGACGGTAAGGCCGCGGAACAGGCGCGACGGTGTCCATGGAGATGTCTTCACTTGGTTCAATTTGATTCAAGCAACGAGTGCCACCCAGTGAAATTAGGGATGATTATGGATGTCAGCCTTCCACTCTTGCTGTTTCCTGCTGTTTCCGAAGGCATATGAGAACTACACCAAGTTCTGCACCCGCGGCAAACGAGACCTCGGTTACGATATCCAGGACGGAGAGAAGACTGTGGAGGAGCGCCGAGAAGGTCCAGTCGAAAAAAGTCGACCATGCAAATAGCGGGGTGCATCAAAATAGAACTGGAATAGTGTGATGAGGTACCACTTCAATGGATATATATCATAGATTGATATATTTTGATGTCAAGGATGAAATAGAACTGGATTGACTCTGTTTCATCCTTTTTCCACAAAATGGATCTTCAAGTACCTCTTTATACCTCCTCCAAGCAGGAGTAAGAAAACCCGCCCTTCACATTGAACTCCCAACGAATTTCGTGTTTCTTGACCATCTTTGGGCAACGATTTTTAGGTTGGTGGGTGGGGCAGCCAAGAACATCCAAGAACTTGGAGATGGAACACTACAAATATCTACAAATCCAAGCATGAAAGTGATGTTGCGAGAATTTGCGAAAGATCTTTGTCGAATTCGGAGTTCGGGTTCAATTTGGCAGATCGATTCTTTGTTCTTTCAAAACTGGTAAGCATCTATGTGTCTTACTTGCTGTTTGATGAAGTTTATTCAAGTTTATTCCCAGCACTGGTAGGGAAATGTGGAAGAATTCCATACTTGGGCCGCTGGGTTGTCTGTAAATGTCCCATTCTTGCTCACTCAATCCCTCTTTCTTGGCTAAGTTCATCTAAGTTCCCCATTTCCAATATCAAGTCTTCATGTTTGATGGTCAGTGTGAAGTTCGAACCCCCAACTTCCCAACTTTGATGATCAGATCCCCATTCCATTGGCTTCCCAGAGCACCATGTCATGCAGGAACTTACGGCTTCTATCGACAAGTCCAGCAGCGACATCGAGGTTTGTAGGATGTCCCATGTTTAGCATGTCTAAAGGTTTTGTTTTGTTGTAGGTAATAATGATATGAAATGATATGAAATGATATGAAATGAGTTACAAACATGATTGGAGTAGAATGATTTATATACCTGCTCATGTTAGTTGTGTTGAGGGTATGCTTCACCGTAATGATGAGGGTGCTTGCTTATGGGTTCCTAGTTCACACATGGCGCTGTTAGTAAGTTCCCGCAATGGGGGCATCCCATTTGTGAAAGATCCATGAGCATGAGAGCATGATTCTAAAAACAAAGTTCCTAATACTGAGAAGTATCCAAGAATATCCATCTCCAGTCTTGTTGGTGAACCCCTCCAGTTGTTTTTGTTCAAATCAAGTTGAAATTTCCATGTTTGCTGCTACAAGCTGACTTTTCGTTCACAGAACTTCCCATCTTCCACGTATGGATAGTGCTGGGCAGTAGCAGGTTTCCAGCTCCAAGATTCAGGTGCGCAGCTGAGACATGGTCAACGGGAAAAAAAAAGTTATCCCATTGAAATCTAACAAGGGAACAAAACAAATGGCGCCGGAAGCCGCCGGAAGCCGCCGGAAGATCAGTGTCCAAAACAATTTTTTGGTGGGTCCATATTTGATCGGAGGGGTCAAAACTGGTGGCTCCTTGATTTGGCGACCAAAGATTTCTCCCTGTTGGTGCGGAATTTGGGGGACCCACTGGATGTAGGCCACCCCTGCAATCTTGGAATGATTTAAGAACAAGCTCCGCAGTTTGAATCAAATGTTGACTGCTATGAATGGCCAGTATCTTCTGAAAATTCCATGCAGCCTCTACAATCAGACTCCAAAGACCCATGGTTTTCCCCCTGGATTGACATGGTTTACCCTCTGGTAAACTAACATAGCTATTGAAAATTGCCATTTATAGTGGATTTACCCATTAAAAATGGTGATTTTCCATAGTTACGTTAGTTTACCAGAGGGTAACCACCATTTCGGCATGTTTTATTCTATCGCCTCAGGAGCTGCAAGGCGCAATCACCAAGAGCGAAGCTGACCTGAAGGCCAGGACGAAACGACTTGGATTTAGTGACTAATGACAGATTGGGAACTACCCATGTCATGAAGAACTTGAGACCTGCAGTTGACTAGAAAAACTACTATTTGTGGGGATGTATATCTGAATCATGTTGCTGGTTGTACATAATATAAAACCATATAAAACCCATTGAATAATACAGAATTGTGTGCTTGATTTCACCGATCTGACCACCAGGCCGCCACTGACATGCGCACCAAGGAGCAGGTGGGGTTTGTTCACAGTGGACGGAGCTGCCGCTCTAAAGATGAACCAACTCGAAATCAGCCCAAAACTGGTTGAAAACTGTTGAAACTCATTGGTGGTTTGAAGATCATGGTGACTTTGGTGACTTTGATGACTTTGTTCCCGCGGAATTTGGGATCCATGATTTTGCTCGTTGGAGCCGCCTCAGTATTGCTGTGAAGCCCTGGGTGCCCTGCATCATTGTGAAAGGAAACACTACCTATGCACAATTCATAGCATCAACAAAAACCAAGAGAAATGGTGGGAAGTACAGTTGCCAACTACATTAATCGTGGTTAACAATTATATGGATTATTGGAATTTGACTTATATCCACCAGATAGATGTTGTGATATTCCGTGATATTCCTATCATTAGCTCTAGTTACACTCTAGTTCTGTCCTCTTTTGGATGCATAGATTCTACATTCCCCCAACTAAATCGTGAGCCCAGCGGGCGGAGGCCGAGCACAAAGCAGCAAAGATTGAGCTGGAAGATGCCACTGACATGCTGGTGCCATGGCGGCATCAAAAATGGTCACTGGGATCACTGGTCGTGGCTGGATGTGGCTGGAGGTTACCCAACTTGGCGCTGGCCATGTTGCCAACTGATCCGATTTCAAAACTGTCAGGGCCGCGCCATAAAGACTCTCTCGAAGGGCACCGCCTTGCTGCAGGAGTTGGGTGTGGTTTCTGTGTTGATTTTGATAGATCTTGATATATCTTGATGGTTCATTAGTAAACGATAATGTGGTAGCAACAATGCCCTAACACATCTCCAAGTATCAATACAAAAGGGGGCAACATGGGCTAACATGGGCTAACCATACCTGGCTTTTTTATTGGTCAACTGATGTTGCTAATTCAGCTGATCATCATATATGCCACACACATCCGCCATTGGAAATTCCATGGAGTTCATCCGCCACTTGGGTGTTGAGCTCTGGAACAACATATAACACATGAGCCTGGCTTCTTCCAAGATCATAGGAGCTGCAAGTGATCAAACTTTACTTGGTGGTTCACCACAGGAATCAAAAGTGGGTTATAACCCCAGTTGCAAGTAGGGTAGGGCGATGGGGTTTGAACCACCCTTGTAGAGAATGGTGGACCAGCAAGTATGT